CCCACTCTCACCACCGCTACCTCACCAGCCCCACTCTCACCACCGCTACCTCACCAGCCCCACTCTCACCACCGCTGCCTCACCGCCCCACTCTCACTGCCACTGCCTCACCAGCCCCGCTCTCACCGCCGCTGTCTCACCAGCCCCGCTCTCACCGCTACTGCCTCATCGACCCACTCTCACCGCCACTGCCTCACCGGCCCACTCTTGCCGACTGCTGCTGCCTCACCAGCCCCACTCTCACTGTCGCTGCCACCTCACCAGCCCGCTCTCACTTTCACTCTGGCCCACGCTCAATCCACCATCGCTGCCGGACACGACCCATGTTTTCAGCACCCACCACTTGGTTCCTGGTCACGACCTGACTCCTTAGGTAGGTGATTAGAAGGGCAGGGTGTGGGTGGGGGATGACAGAATTATTGCAGAGGGGACTGAGAAGAAGAAGAGAAAAAGAAAGGAAAAGGAAAGGGAACTGGTGGACAGAGTGGAGCTCCAAATGGAGCCTGCTGCCATCTTGCTGGAATCTGTTGAGTGCAGGAATATTATTTAGTTTTTTATTAGATAGAAACACAACTGCATTTCCCACAACTTCAAGCGTCTCAAAACAAAGTATATGACCCGCAACAATTGAGGATGGCTTAAGCAGTTGGCATGGAGTGTGTTGATCACATTAAAGTTGTGACGTCAGCATCCTGTTGTCGAGCTGAAGTGTTTGGGGACTCCCCCCTGGGTTTTACTCCTTTCTTCCGCAGTCCATCATCTGTCTGAAGAGGTCAGCCATCACACAAGGATTGATGCCTGACTCTGAGCACTTGTTGATTAGTCCTATTGAATCTTTCCATGTTAGACAGTGTGATTTTCATCGGCTTTCAAGGAAGCTTCTCTCCATGAAGCATAGCCAGGTTAATTGTACGAACCATCCCAAATTCGCCTCATTAAGTACCTACTGCGCTCCCATAGCATTCCTCTCATCCAGTACTAGTCCGATTCTTCTACTTGCCGTAGTTGGAAGTACTCACCACTGCTGGGACATCCTGGGATTCCTGGCATCAGGGCTATCTTTAAAAGCCCATTGTAAACCTGGTCAAATGCTGTCAGTCTGGAGCTGCCCTGCACAGTTCGTGACATTTGCCAAAGACATGGTTGATACAGGGAAATTGCCATTCTACTTTCCAGACGGAGACCCCGGTAGATGGGGTAATGTACAGGAGGGCTGTCCTCCTCTGCCAGGACCAGCCAGACTGGTCCAAGTTTGCCACCCAATTGGTCAGCCCTGACCTCATTTGGGATCTTTAAACACTGGCTCTTGCCAACCAACACTAGAACTGTCTAGACTGACATAAATGAGCACTAGATACTGGGGAGAGTGTTTGCACGCCATATTGAGAAGGTGACAATTAACAATGTGACTGTCTCTGTGGCTGTATTTTAAAACAGTGGGAATGGGTTTCTGTATATGACTGTTATTGACCAGAAAAAAGAGTGCAAATACAGATAAACCACAGCATTTAAAGTTAGAAACTAAATTATTTGACACTTTGAATAAGACCATTTATGAATAAAAATGTATTTTCATAGTAGATGTCAGCTCAGTTTAAAGATAAGACGTTGAAGCTTCGAGCCACCTAACTCATCGTCTAGTTTTTCAGATCACACCTGCATTTGTCCCTGGAGATGATCAGTCAGAGGAAAGTAGCAACAGCCAAATTCATTGCTCCATGTTTGTCTCCACTGTGGAAGAGAGGAGGACTAAGTGTGGGGAGGCAATAGTAATAGAGATTCAATCATAGGGGGAATAGGTACATGTTTCTCTAGCTGCAAATGAGATGCCAAGATGGTATGTTGCCTCACGGGTGGCTAGGTCAATATCGTCTCGGAGCCGCTGCAGGACATTCTGGAGTGGTAGGATGAATACCCAGTGGCTGTGGTAAACATCAGTACAAACAATGCAGGCAAAAATAGGGATGAGGTCCCAAAAGTAGAATAATGGGAGTTAGGAAGCAAATTAAAAAATAGGACCTCAAAAGTAGTGATCTCAGGATTACTACCAGCATCACATGCTAGTTGGAGCAGAAATAGGAAGATATATCCTATGAATACGTGCCTGCAAAGATGGTGCAAGGGGGAAAGTTTCAGGTTCCTGGACATAGGTACCAGTTAAGACGGAGGTCGTACCAGTACAAGCTGAATGGGCTGCCTAAGGGCAGGACCAGAACTGGTGTCCTCAGCGGAGTATTTGCAAGTGCGCATGGGACGGTGTAACTAAAATGGGTTTGGGAACTCGCCTCAGGTGACACTGGAGAGGGAAACAAGGGCAAAAGCAAATGATAGAATGGAAAGTATGACAAGTGTTAGGCAGGGAATTCAAGGGTAAGAAGCAAACAGGGCCACAGTGTAAAGTAATGTGAATGGGACTAAGAATGTTAAAAAGACAAATCTTAAGGCCTTGTGTCTTCATGTATGGAGCATTCATAATAAAGTGGATGATTAGTTACGTAAATAGATATAAACAGGTATGATATAACTAGGATTACGTAGACATGTCTGCACGGTAGCTAGGTTTGGGAACTGTATATCAAGGGGTTTTCGGTTTTTGGGAAGGACAAAGAAAAAATAGAGGTGAAGTAGCATTGCCGGTTAAAGAGCACATGAACATAACAACAAGGAAGGATACTAGCTCTGGTGAAGTGAAACCTGTATGGCTAAATCTTAGAAACGCCAAGGGGCAGAAAACAATAGTGAGACCTGTAAAGTCCCCCAAACTGTAATGGATATTTTGGGGAAGGCATTACATAGGAAATTAAAGATGCAAACAATGAAGGTACAGCTGTAATTAAGGGCAATTTTAACCTGCGTATAGATTGGGTAAATCAAATTAGTCACAATGCCATAGGGGAGAAATTCCTAGAGTTTACAAGATAGTTTTCCAGATAAATACATTGAGGAATCAACTACAGAATAAGGCCATCCCAGACTGGGGGTATTGTGTAATCAGAAAATAATAATTGGCAATCTATCTGTGCAAGACCCCTTGTGGAAGAATGACCATGATATGATAAGAATTTTTCATTAAGCTGGAGAGTGACATTGGTTCTGCGACTATGTTCCTGAATCTGTACTGAAGAAACTATGATGGTAAGAGGCACAAACTGGGTATGATCAATTGGGAATGTTACTGAAAGGGATAACGGTGGCCTAGATATTGGAACACTTCTGCTTTTCCTTGAATTGGTTATTAACAATGGAAGACAATAGTGGATAAATAGGTAGCACCTTTAACATAGAAACGCTGTAGTGAGGCACTTCTCAGAGGTGTGATCAAAAAACTGACCAACAAGAAAGGTAATAGGAGCAGTGACCAACATCTTGTTTAAAACATGTGAGAAATGGGGCTGGTGCAGTAGAAGATATCACTAAGATATGATGCGCCAAATGATGGAGCGAATTGCACAACAGGTCAGACCAGAAAGCTGGATTGTATTAGGGGAGCATGGGAATTATAAAACATGGGAATTATAAGGAACTATGTGAATGCAAATTCTTGCTTTCAAGTGTACAATATAAAACTGCAGACATTAACAATCTGAAACAAAAACGGAGAATGTTCAGAATCCAGAAAAAAATCAGGTCGTGCCTGTAGAAGTTTTCAACCTTGTCTACCTGCCCCCTATCCAGGAAAACAGGTTTGGGACTGGAATTAGCAGAAAAATGAGTAATTCACACCAGAAATAACTTGGTGTCACCAGCTGTATTTACCAGTAGCACATAATCTGTGAGCTAAGGAGGTTGTATTGGGACATGTCCTGCACAGTCTCAGATGTGAGCAGTCATACTGTTTCCTAAGTGAAGGCCCAAGTAATATCCAAAGCAGCTGGTCTGGAGTGAATTCTGGGCTATTTGAGGTTAGCTGGAGCTCAGTCACTTTTCCTCACTCACTCACACTCACACAGACAGCCCACAAGGAAACTGGCTGGAAAAGTGGACATATTGGCCCAATCGCCAGGCACTAAGAGCCCAGGTAGTGGTGAGATTGAGCGTGGGGCAAAGGGTGGCCGAGAGAAGCCAGGGGAAGTTGTGGCTGATACAGGTGAACTAGTAACTGGAGAGAACAGAAAAGTTACTCGTTCAGGTGCAAAGTCTGCTTTGAAACACTATTTTCTATTTTACGTTTCAATATTTTTTTCCAATTTTCCTATTATTCCTTCCCCATAACTTCTTCAGCTGTAGAAGGGATAATTTGCTTATTGCTATTAGCCATTGGGAATTTGCCTCTTATTGAATGTGAATAACAGTAGAGGCCCAGAGATCAAACTCCTATTTAATTTAATTTAACTCCTATTTGGCAATATTTTGGCACATTTCTTCATCCTGAAGATATTTATCCCAAAAAACATTATCATGTTAAAAATGCCAAAAATGATCTGTTCCTCAGAAACAACTGTGCAGACATTGTGAAGCAATTTACACTTTTCATCTCCAAGATGTTTATTTGTATGAGGATGACAATGTCAAAGGTACATATGTTCATGATGTTCAGATCATAAACTGATGACAATGAAGGTTTGAAAAATGGAGTGCAAGTAGAATGGTGTCGTGACATCAATAATGTATCTTATGTAATTGATAAATGGAAAGACATTTAAATGCATGTATGTTCTTTGACTTTCAGTGCTTTGGTCGCCTTGATGGTTTTGGAATTTGTGAAGTTTCACCTTTAGGTGCAGGTTTTTTCTGTCCCTTAGCGGCAGCCTTTTCCATCTTGAGCTGAAATAAAAGATTGTGTATTGACTATCATAATAAATGTTATATTATGAAAACCTAGTTAAATTAATATGTATGAATGGAATAACTTCACTAATATAACACACACAATTAATGAAAATTTAGTCATATGACTAATTGCTAACTATTTTGAGGGCAGTAAAGAATCACAGAATTGTTATGATGCAGAAGAAAACTGACTGATTGTGTACCAGCTCTCTGTATGAACATTATGATTCAGTGCTATTCTCCTGCCTTTTCCTCATAACCCTGAATAATGATCCTATTTACATACTCAGTTAATGCCCTGTTGAATGTCTTGATTGACTCAGTTTTCACCACACTTTCAGGCAGTGTTCCTGACCTGAGCCACTTGCTGTGTGAAATGTTTTTGTCACATTGCATTTGTTTCTTTTGCAGATGTCACCTCTAATCTGTGCTTTCTCGTTCTCAATCCTTCTATAAGAAGGAAAAATTTCTCCCTCTCTGTCCAGACCCTTATTACTTTTGAAAAATTCTATCAAATCTCCTCTTAGCCTTGTCTTCTCGAAGGAAAATGGTCCCAATTTCTCTAATCTGCCTTAATAATTGATGTTTTGCATTTAGCCACACCCATTAACTTCTTTCTTTCCAAAATGTGGTAATCAGAAATGTACACAGTACCCCAGTTAAAGTCTAACTAGTGGCTTATAGCATAACGTCCTTGCTCCTATACTTTATGGCAGTATTATTAAAGTCTCAGATACTGTATGCTTTATGAACTGCTCACTCTACCTGTCCTGCCACCTTCAGTGAATCAAGCACATATATACACAGGTCTCTGTTTCTGCACATCCTTTAACTTTATACTGTGTATCTATATACTTTCTCCCGAAATGTAACACGCCACACTTCTCTGCATTGAAATTCATGTGCCACCTATCCACCCACTCCACCAATTTGTTCATGTACTTTCATAATTTTACACAGGCTTCCTCACCACTTACAATGCTTCCAAATTTTGTATCGTCTGAAAACATTCAAAATTGATTCCTCAACACCAAGATGTAGATGGTTATTATATATCAGAAAAAACAAGGGTCCCAAAACCAAGCCAAAAACTTTCCAATAACCATCCCTCAGCTGATTTTGAATCCAAGTTGTTGCTGTCCCCTTTTTTCCCATGAACTAGAATTTTCTCTCAAGTCTGTTCTGTGGCATTGTATTGAACACCATTTGGAAGTCTACGTGAACCACATCAACAGCATCAGCCTCATCGATCCTCTCTTTTACTTCCTCAAAACCTTCAGCAAAATAGTTAAACAAGATTTCCCCTCTTCCCTTGTGACTATTTATTATATTTGAATTATTGTTTCAAGCAGTTTCCCTGCTACTGAAGTTAAATCAAATGGTCTGTAATTGCAGGGCTTAGCCTTATAACTGGCACCACCCCTCAGTCCATGGATTGAAAGATTAGTCCCACTGCCTCTGCAATTTCCGTCAGTATCCTTGGATGCACCTCATCTGGTCCCAGTGCCTTTAATGCCAACAGTCTATCCAATACCTCTTATGTGCCAACCTGAAAATTTTCTAGTGACAGAGTTTCCTCCATTATCACCAGGGCTTGGGCAGCTTTGCTTTCCAACACAAAATCTTTGAACCTGGTTACAAATAGTGAAGGGGATTGTCAAAGGATATAGCAGGATATCGATAGCTTGAAGATTTGGGCAGAGAAATAGCAGATGGAGTTTAATCCGGACAATGGCAAGATGATGCATTTTGGATGATCAAATTCAAGTGCGAGTTATACAATAAATGGCAGAACCCTTAGGAGCATTGACATACAGAGAATCTGGGCATACAGATCCCTGAAAGTGGCAATACTGGTGGATAAGGTGGTCAAGAAGGCAGATAGCACGCTTGCCTTCATCGGCTGGGGCATCAAATATAAAAGTTAGCAAGTTATATCACAGCTGTATAAAACTTTAGTTTGGCCACATTTGGAATATTGCGTGCAGTTCTCATTGCCACACTACCAGAAGGATGTGTGTAGATGCTTTGGAAAGGATGCAGAGAAGGTTTACCAGTATGTTGCCTGGTCTGGATGGTTTTAATTATGAGGAAAGGTTGGATAAACTCAGATAGTTTTCACTGGAAAGACAGAGGCTGAGGAGTGACCTGATAGAGGTCTTCAAAATTATGGGAGGCATAGATAGGGTGGGTAGTCAGAGGCTTTATCCCAGGGTGGAAAGGTCAACTACAAGACAGCACAGGTTCAAAGTGAGAGGGGGAAAGTTCAGAGGAAAAGTGCGGGGAAACTTTTTCACCCAGAGGGCGGTGGGTGCCTGGAATGCACTGCCAGTGGAGTTGGTGGAAGCAGGCACATGAGCAATGTTTAAAGTGTACTTTCATAGACACATGAACGGGAGGCGAACACAGGGATAGAAACTGCACATGGACAACAAGTAGCAGGTCTAAATTTTTTTTTTTTCTTTATTCATTCAATGGATGAGGGCGTTGCTGACCAGGCAGCATTTATTGCCCATCCCTAATTGTCCAATCGGCAGTTAAGAGTCAGCCACATTGCTGTGGGTCTGGGGTCACATGTAGGCCAGACCAGTTAAGGATGGCAGTTTCCTTCCCTAAAGGACATTAGTGAAGCAGATGGGTTTTTCCTGACAATCGACAACGGATTCATGGTCATCATTGGATTCTTAATTCCAGATATTTTATTGAATTCAAATTCCACCATCTGCTATGGCGGGATTCAGAAACATGGTTACAGGATGGTCATGACTGGGAGTTAAATATCCAGGGGTATCAAACTGTTCGGAAGGATAGACAGGAAGGTAAGGGAGGTGGTGTTGCTCTGATTTTTAAGGATGATATTAGGGCGGTAGTGAGAGATGATATAGGTTCTACTGAACCAAACATTGAATCCATTTGGGTGGAAATTAGGAATGGCAGGGAGAAGAAGTCACTGATAGGTGTGGTCTACAGGCCACCAAATAATGACATCGTGATGGGGCTGGCAATAAACATAGAAATAGCTAATGCATGTAAAAATAGTACAGCAATTATCATGGAGGATTTTAATTTACATATCGATTGGTCAAACCAGGTCGGTCATGGCAGCCTTGAGGAGGGGTTCATAGAATGCATCCGCGATAATTTCCTTGAACAATATGTAATGGAACCTACGAGGGAGCAAGCTATCCTAGATCTAGTCCTGTGTAATGAAACAGGAATAATTAATGATCTCACAGTTAGGGATCCTCTCGGAAGGAGCGATCACAGTATGGTCCAGTTTAAAATACAGATGGAGCGTGAGAAGGTTAAATCCAGTACCTATGTCCTGTGCTTAAACAAAGGAGACCATGAAGGAATGAGGGAGGAGTTAGCTAAGGTAGAATGGGAACAAAAACTTTATGGTGGGTCAGTTGAGGAACACTAGAGGACTTTCAAAACGATTTTTCACAGTGCTCAGCAGAAGTATATTCCAGTGATAAGGAAGAACTGTAGGAAAAGAGAGAGCCAGCCATGGATGTCTAAGGAAATAAAGGAAAGTATCAGATTGAAAAAAAACACATACAAAAAAGCAAAGAGTAGTGGGAAACTAGTAGATTGGGAAATCTTTAAAGGCTAACAGAAAGCCACAAAAAAAGTTATAAAGAAAAGTAAGATAGATTATGAGAGTAAACTAGCTCAGAATATAAAAACAGGCAGCAAAAGTTTCTATAAATACGTAAATCGTAAAAGAGTGGCGAAGGTAAACATTGGTCCTTTAGAGGATGAGAAGGCCAATTTAATAACTGGGAATGAGGAAATAGCCGAGACATTAAACAGTTATTTCGTGTCGGTCTTCACAGTGGAGGACACAAATAACATGCCGAAAACTAATGGCGAGAAGGTTATAGCAGGTGAGGACCGAGAAACTATCATTATCACTAACAAGGCAGTGCTGGGCAAGCTAATGGGGCTAAAGGTAGACAAGTCTCCTGGCCCTGATGAAATGTATTCCAGGGTACTAAAAGAGGTGATCGGGGAAATAGCAAATGCACTAGTAATTATTTACCAAAATTCACTGGACTCTGGGGTGGTTCCCGTAGATAGGAAAACAGACAATGTGACGCCACTGTTTAAAAAAGGACGTAACAAAAAGCAGGTAACTATAGGCCAGTTAGCTTAACTTCGGTAGTGGGGAAAATGCTTGAATCTATCATTAAGGAAGAAATAGCAAGACATCTGGATGTAAATTGTCCCATTGGGAACACCCAGCATGGGTTCATGAAGGGTAGGTCATGTTTAACTAATTTGGTGGAATTCTTTGAGGACATTACTGGCATGGTGGACAATGGGGAACCTGTGGATGTGGTGTATCTGGATTTCCAGAAGGCATTTGACAAGGTGCCACACCAAAGGCTGCTACATAAGATAAAGTTGCACGGTATTACAGGTAATGTATTGCCATGGATAGAGAATTGGTTGACCAGTAGAAAGCAAAGAGTAGGGGTAAATGGGTGTTTTTCTGGTTGGCGGTCAGTGGCTAGTGGTGTGCCTCAGGGATCAGTGTTGGGACCGCAATTGTTTACAATTTACATAGATGATTTGGAGTTGGGGACTAAGTGTGGTGTGTCAAAATTTGCAGATGACACTAAGGTGAGTGGTAGAGCAAAGTGTGCAGAAGACACTGAAAGTCTGCAGAGGGATATAGATAGTCTAAGTGAGTGCGCAAAGGTCTGGCAGATGGAGTACAATGTTGATAAATGTGAGGTCATCCATTTTGGTAGGAATAACAGTAAAATGGACTATGTTTTAAACGGTAAAAAATTGCAGCACGCTGCTGTGCAGAGGGACTTGGGTGTCCTTGTGCGTGAATTGCTAAAAGTAGGATTGCAGGTGCAGCAGGTGATTAAAAAGGGAAATGGAATTTTGTCTGCCATTGCTTGAGGGATGGAGTTTAAAAACAGGGAGGCTATGCTGCAGCTGTATAGGGTCCTGGTGAGGCCACACCTGGAGTACTGTGTGCAGTTTTGGTCTCCTTACTTGAGAAGAGATATACTAGCACTGGAGGGGGTGCAGAGGAGATTCACTCGTTTGATTCCAGAGTTGGGAGGGTTGGATTATCAGGAGAGATTGAGTAGGCTTGGATTATACTCATTGGAATTCAGAAGAATGAGGGGAGATCTTATAGAAACATATGAGATTACGAAGGGAATAGATAAGGTAGAGGCAGGGAGGTTGTTTCCACTAGCAGGTGAAACTAGGACTCGGAGGCATAGCCTCAAATTAAAGGGAAGCAGATGTAGGACTGAGGTCAGGAGGAACTTCTTCACCCAAAGGGTTGTGAATCTGTGGAATTCCCTGCCCAGTGAAGCGGTTGAAGCTACCTCGCTGAATGTTTTTAAGGCAAGGCTAGAGAAATTTTTGAACAGTAAAGGAATTGAGGGTTATGGTGAGTGGGTGGGTAAGTGGAGCTGAGTCTCAAAAAGATCAGCCATGATCTTATTAAATGGCAGGGCAGGCTCGAGGGGCCACATGGCCTACTCCTGCTCCTAGTTCTTATGTTCTTCTGTTATGTTCTTATGATTCGAACCAGTGTCCTCAGAATGCTATCTGGGTCTCTGGATTCACAGTCCAGTAAGAATACCACTCGGCCACTGCCTTCCCCTACAATAAGGATTAGGAATCAGTGCAGGCTTGGTGGACTGAAGGGCCTGTTCCGTGCTGTACTGAATAGAAAAAAAACTCAATAACTACATTTTTTTATCTCGAACTAACTCAAAATTCATTAAGAGCAATAACTGTGTGGCTTTAGTTATACATAGCAATTGCAAGAAATTGTGTAGAGAATACTGAACTTTTTATTTATTCACTGTGGGTCAGAATGTGACTGGCTGGCCAGCATTTATTGCCTGTCCCTAGTTGTCCTTGAGAAGCTGGTGGAGAGCTGTCTTCTTGAACCGCTGCAGTCCATGTGCTTGAGGTTGAACCATAATCCCTTTAGGAAGGGAATTCCAGGATTCTGACCTAGTAACAGTGAAGGAATGGTGATATATTTCCAAGTCAGGATGGTGAGTGACATGGATGGGAACTTGCAAATTATGGAATTCCCATGTATCTGCTGCCTTTATCCTTCTAGGTGGAAGTGGTTATGGGTTTGGAAGGTGCTGTCTAAAGATCTTTGGTGAATTTCTACAGTGCATCTTGTTATTACTAATTTCAAATGTGTTTTGAACAATTTTTATATTGTTTGCAAGTTTTTTTACAAATGTCCTGTTTTGTAACTCAGTTTGTTATCGTTACCTGCACTTTGTCTCACTTCAAGAAAATCTTTTAATTTTAGAAAACTTAAAAGTTAAAATAAATTGCTACTCCATGAAATATTTCATAGGTTTTTTTCACATTTAACATAATGATGTTACCATACCCGTTCTTGATACTGGCTTTCAAAGTAAGCCATGTCTCGTTCCTCAGCTGTGGGAAGATGAGCGAATCGACTTAAACCATAAACATCTGCAGAGACATCATGGAGTTCATTAAATAATTATTCATCTACATATTCAATAGTCAGAATAATTTATTTAACTTTCACAAATTTCATACTGGGTATGCATATTTGAATATTTTCCAATGATGTAGAATTATATGTATTTGAAAACTACGTACACCTGCCAACAATCAGAAAATTTGAATTTGAGGGAAAAGTGAGTCAATTATAGCTGTTCAGAAATGTTTGCTTCAGATTATTACCATGTGTGGCAATATAATTTCTTATTGAGAGAACCAGGAATTTGCAGTCAATTGAGTGATAGGAGTAGACCAACTTTTCTTCTGATAAAATATATTTTATATATTTTACAGGTAATTATTTAGATTGACAACATTTTAATATTGCCCATGTGCTTTTATTATCATATGCCCTCAAGAACACGAGTAGAACGCTTATCTACATTACACCTGTCTGAAAAACTATCATACAGTTATTACACCTAACTGGCCAATAATTAGAGCCCTGAGATAATAGGAATTATATGATATTGTGAATTTTAGAATTAAAAATGATAGACTAACATCATGGCCTGAGTATTAACAGCTGTGGCTTACATTGGTACAGCAATGGGGAGGGAGGTGAAACTTTGGACAGAAAACTCATCTTGTTGAATTTTACTCGTCCTTTGGCCTGAATGAATCCCTTGCCTGGAGATCAAGCTGACTGACAAGCATGGTTTCTAGCCAATGGGGAGCATCCTGGAGTTGGTCCTGGGATTAGGCAGCTATGATACTAGCTGGAGTCGGGTGGGAGGTTGGGGTGATGTTCTCCTGAACATTCGGTGGGGGGACATATGTTATGGCAAATCTTTGAATATAGGGCTTGGGGGCAGGACAGAGATGGCTATGATCCCCATCACCATGGAGGTGGGGAAGAACTCTTGATCCTTTTGGCTTATAAATATTCAAATCATTGTACAAAGCCTAGATGGCATTATTACAGTAATGAGAACAACAAATAAAGGAACTTTAAAATATTTTCACAGTACTTTGTCAGATCTTCAGGACATTGAAAAATACATCAGATTCAATTAATTACATTTAGTCATAGAGATCATAGAGAACACCATAAAAGGACCCTTAGCCCATTATGTCCCCACTAATCAAAAACAACCACCTAACTATTCTAATCCCATTTTTCAACACTTGGCCCTTAGCCTTGTATGCCTTGGCATTGCAAGTGCAAGTGCACATCTATATACTTCTTAAATGTTATGAAAGTTTCTGCTTCTACCATCCTTAAAGGCAATGAGTTCCAGATTCCCACCATGCTCTGGGTGAAAAAGATTTTTCCTCACATCTCCTCTAAACCTTCTGCCCCTTACATTAAATCTATACTCCTGGTCACTGATCCCTCAAACAAGTGGAAAAATTTTTCCTGTCTACTTTCTATGCACTCATTATTTTATACATCTCAACAATGGCACCTCTCAATCTCCTCTGCTCTAAGGAAAACAACATCAATTTTTACCCTTTATAACTAAAACTCGCCAGCCCAGGCAACATCCTAGTGAATCTTCTCTGCACCTCTCCAGTGCTATCATGTCCCTCCTATAGTGCAGATTCCAGAGCCGCACACAATACTCTAGGTGTGATCTAACCAATGTTTTTTTATAATTCCAGCATAATCTTCCTATTCCTAAACTCAATGTCTTGACTAGTAAAGGCAAGTATCCCATATGCCTTCTTAACCACTTGTTCTGATACCTTAAGTAAGTGGTGGACATACACACCAAGAGGAACAGTGACCTGCGTCCTACAGTGCTGGGCAGACCTCCAGATGACTGAGATTGTACTAACCTGGGTAGAAACCTCAGCAAGCTGGCATGATCTAATGTTATGGCATCTACTGCTGGTGTGGGGCAAAAGGAAGGCCCCTGTTTGTGCCACCGTATCGAACAGGCCCTCTAGTACCCTGTCCAGAAAGTTAAGCAACAATTTCACCTCATCTGGCATGATTGAATCAAATGTACAAAAATTGGTGCAGTGGTAAATAATGAACAGGATAGCCTTAGACAACAAGGTGCAGGGCTGGATGAACACAGCAGGCCAAGCAGCATCAGACTACAGGAGGATATAGTCAGGTTGGTTAGATTGGCTGATCAGGGTCCCTCGGATCCTCAGTTCTTCTGAGGGTCCTACCATTCATCATGTATTCCCTTACCTTGTTTGTCTTGCCCAAGTGCATCATTTTACATTTATCTTGATTGAATTCCATTTGCCACTGATTAGCTCATCTAACCAGCCTCTGCTTTTACTTGTGTAACTTTGTCACATGATCAAAAGGTGAACAATTTGAACATAACCAGCAGCAACAACCATTCCCATTGCTACTGTCAGCAATGTAAAGTTGTTGGTCACTAGTTTGGGAAGGCCTGATACTGGTCAGTTCAGTACCTAGCAGGCATCTAATATGGTGATCATCCTCTTACTGCAAGCATGAAATGTGGATTCTCAATTGTTCTTTAATCAGTGAGTAAGACTCTCATCACCAACATTAACCTCCCCATCCCTCCCCACCCTCAAAGGTTTGAGAAACAAATTAACGTTAGATATGTAAAAACATTGAACTTACACTCAATTGCTTGAGCAAAGTGCCTACGTGAACATGACGACTGAATTACCTTTATGTTGTGCTATAATATTGATTTGTTTTTGATTCTGCTGTTCTTTGCTAAAACTGCCTATTATTCAAAGAACATGCTGGAAAACAAAGATAACCTCCTCCTTTTCCCTATCTCATGCCACTGTCTTAAACAAACTTCCTACGCCTCCTCTAATCTCATTTCTAACATCAAGTGGCAAGTGCTCATTGGCATTTTTGCCTTAAAGACAAGTCATCTGTTCAGCTGTACTTCACATCCCTCCCTTCTCCTAAAGTCTTTTTTCTTTTCTGGAATACAGAGCTTTGAGATTCCTCAGTCCCACTTTGTGCAAACTTTACAATTCGCCCATTTTGCACAAACCAGCATGAAGTCATAATTTAATTTAGCTACAATGCTTTTCCATATGAAAAAGAAATAAAATAATATAGGCAGTAGAAAATGGTATTTATTAATTTATCTGAACACTCATTCTTATAATATCAAGATGTTTTATGCAGAATTAAAAGATACATTTGGATTAATTCTTGCTCACTTACACGTGAAATCCTGCAGCTTATAATAAAAGGGCTATTTTGTGTAACTCAATATAAAGGTCACAATTGTCCATAATTAAAATAATGTACAGTGCTACAATTGTGCCTTTTCTTTTATTTCTTACCATCTGGAGAGCGTCCAGCATTTATTGCATCCATTTGTGGTCCATAAGCTCTCAGAAAAGGATGATCCATTGAAGTAGAAGGTGCATCAAGAATTTCATTGCTTGGTGCCCCTGAAATAATTAATAAAACTTTTTATGGATAAAGACTCCAACACATATTGGATAACACCTGAAAGCTGGTTCTGGAGTCACAATGTGGAATTAACCAATTGTGTAAAGCAGTATATTAAATTTATACTTCCTGATGTTTTATATTATTGCTGCATACAGTGAACAAATGGATAATGATTGTCCTGATTGCATGGATCAGCAAAGGTCTGATATTATGAGCCAATAATGCTACTTAAATGCAGCCTGCACCTTTGAAAGAGGTGGGGTAGTATGTTTGTGAGAAGTTAGACAACTAGTGTTGGCATCTTTGATAGAAAGATATCTTACAGAAGGCTTTCCATACATTTGTTTCTTTTAGCGTGGTGTCAGGTCTCATGGTGGGTATGCGAATATACCTTTAAGAGACACAGTCATCATGATATGTGACCTGAGGGTATAAAGGTCTCATACTCCATCCTATCTCAGATCCTTTCAAGCATGATACTCTAGCAGGCACTACTAGGTTAAGAGATAGTAGGAACTGCAGATGCTGGAGAATCCGAGACAACAAGGTGCAGGGCTGGATGAACACAGCAGGCCAAGCAGCATCATAGGAGCAGAGAGGCTGACGTTTCGGGCCTATTCTGATGAAGGGTCTAGGCCCGAAACGTCAGCCTCTCTGCTCCTATGATACTACTAGGTTAATGTTAGTTTGCAGATTTATGTGCCTGATGAATGTAAAGTTTGTAAATAATAATTAGCCGTAATAAATATCTGTATGATTCTGTAGCATCACAATACCCACATTTGGTTCTTTTTTTTATTTTACAGGCACATCAGATAGAATACCCTGCTGGAGAAAAGTGGTGGACATGTGGACAAGTGGTAAAAATGCGAGAATATTTTTGTGGCAAGTATTTGGAAAAATAATTGAAGACAAACTGGACAAGAGCTGTAAGAAACACGGATTTTGGACAAAGGGATAACACAGTGTGTAGCTGGAGGAGCACAGCAGGCCAGGCAGTATCAGAGGAGCAGGAAATTTGAAGTTTCGGGTTGGGACCCTTGATTTCTGAAGAATGGTCCCAACCCGAAGCATCAACTTTCCTGCTCCTCTGATGCTGCCTGGCCTGCTGTGCTCCTCCAGCTCCACACTGTGTTATCTCTGACGCCAGCATCGGCAATTCTTACTATCTTTTTTGGACAAAGGAACAGCTTCTTACCTTTCAACTGCCTTGATTTTTCTGAGAACTGAAAGCTGTAAAGATTTGTAGATTGGATATGAACCACCAATAAAACAAAGCTAATTTCTGTTGATTGTAATGTATGTTCTTTGAAGATAAAAGTTTTTTTTTAAAGATTATATTAATTTACAGAAGGGAAGAAAAGGATGCACTATTGAGCAGAACCACAAAGTCAGTGCAAAGGCACATAGAAGCTGGAGGCTAATATACTTGGTTCTAAGCATTTGATACAGAAGTAACCTTTCTTAGAACAACAGCAGCTACAAAGTCTTTGCCTTAAAGGAAAAGCAGTTTTCAAATCGCACTGATGTATAATTAGGAATGTAAGGCTTTAAGGGTTACAGTTAAGGCAGAATTGTGGACTGCAAAAATCTCATTCTGGATTGGACAGCATCCAGTAAAACCCTTACTGAATTACAACTATTCAAATAACGTATGCCATTCTATTTTATTGGTCAAACAATAAATGATCCTGAAAAAAGTAATTCCAAAAATCTTGCACGCCACTGACAAGGAGAGGTTTCAAGGAATTAACATATCCTGTCTTTCCGTGGACGATCAGAAAAATCCAGAAAAGATCTGGAGAGTTCTTGAAGACCAACTAAAAATAAGAACTGATTTCAGGATTAAAGACTTCAATTCAGGTACAACAATCTCTAGAGTCCATTGACCAGTTTGTCAGAAGATGTTGCAGCAAAACACAAGATGTACCTTTTCTGACTGCCAGAGAGGCTCATTGAGTTAGCTATTGCTTCTACACCAATTTGGACAAGAAATATAGCTATACCATTGATGCATTGCTTGAAGATAGATACAAACATAAAGCCATACTGGCAGGTCAACATGCTTTAGGTACAGCCAGCACTCTTGTTACAGACAGCAAGGCCCACCAAGACATCAAAATCTGTAACAAATGTGATTTGTTGATTCTACCTAAAAGCTGTTCGGAATATCATAAAACATATGGTACTAAAGGATATTGGACATGCACGTGCAGGAAATCTGATTTTAAAGGCCAGCTGGACCCCACAACAAGACGTTACAACACTGCAGCAAGGAAAGTGTTACAAAGATGCACAAATGCAAACACAGCAGTGAGATTCAGCGGCAAATAAACTAAAGGCAAATTTCAGAAGATGACCACGGTTTCCATACTGTCAACTTTGCACACTAGGTCGCACACTTATTTATAAGGCAATCAGAAGCTTTTATAATATAATACAGTACCATATGCCATGAAAAGGCAGGAACAAGCTAAAAACTAAAACTGATGTGGGAGCTGCCAACAAATTACCACGATTAATCCTGAAGGACATGCTCATCAGTAAATGGCGCTTCATGGTACAGCATGTGAGAGACCATAACACAGTATATAATGGATCACCAGTTCCGTGCATGTAGTCAAACAACCGCCAAACCTTAAACAGACCATTGTTTGCAGCAAACTACCCAACCTTCAGGACAATACCTACCAAAACACCACACAACCATGCCATGGCAACCTCTGCAAGATATGTCAGATCTTCGACATGGACACTACCATCACATGTGGGAACATCACCCACCATGTGCACAGCAGATACTCATGTGACTCAGCCAATGTTGTCTATCTCATACGTCGCCGAGGCATGGTATATTGGCGAGACCATGCTGACGCTATGAAAACAGATGAATGGACACCACGCAACAATCACCAGACAGGAGTGTTCTCTCCCAGTCAGGGAAAACTTCAACAGTCAAGGACATTCAGCCTCCGATCTTCGGGAAGTGTCCTCCAAGGCGGACTTCAGAATACACAACAATGCAGAATTGCTGAGTAGAGACTGATAGCCAAGTTCTGTATCCATGAAGACGGCCTCAACCGTGATCTTGGGTTCATGTCCCACTACAGGTGACCCCACCACACTGTATCTATAAAATCTTCCTTACTGTCCTGTTTTGACAGCATCACCTCTCTCTTTCTTTCTCTCTCTCTCCCACACACACACACACACACACACACACGCACGCACATAAATCTATGGGGTGAATCATTTCATCCAAGATGTTTGTCTATTTGCACATACATTCTATTTTGTTCAAAAACCACAACTTGTAGTCACAGTCAGTCAGTGTGGCATTTTATAAATTCCTGCTTTCGGAATAAAACCGACCTGATTGCAGGTTAGAACTCGGATACAGATTCTGAATGAGGCCTCACACCTCCAATTCAGTGTCTGACCTGAGATGTCACCTTTTGTATCTCTGCCTGATTGAAGTTTGCGAAGTTAGGCAGACAATGACAAAACCTTTAATTATCTCGGGGCAGTGACTTGAATCAGATTCTGGAATTTGCATCTTAGTCGAAACTTGTGTCTCCTTGCGAACAGAGTTTTCCATCAGCCACTTTAGGTTTGTTCACTCCACTCAGACCAGTTGCATGATTCTTTGAATTCTCTGTCTAAAAACTCTGCGTCTGCGTGCCCTCTCTCATTGCACCTGATGAGGAAGCGGTGCTCCAAAGGCTTGTGATTTCAAATAAACCTGTTGGACTATAACCTGGTGTCGTGTGATTTTTGATTGATTCCAAGCATTGGCAGAATCACATTGCAGTGCCAATACACAAACATGCTTCCTGAAATCTTCTATCACAAAGATAACAACCATTCAACAGACTAATGTGTACAGATCTCGGTGTAGTCACAATTCATGAGATTCAAATGACACTAACCACCTCAGAGATTGATATTGCTCCATGACCCGTGTTTTAAAATAAAGACAGCGCCATAAGAGAATGCAAAGATCCAAGGCACCTTAAACTTTTACTTGAGAGGTGTCTACACAAAACACCAATACCTAAAGAATTAAATCCTAAATTTCTCAGAGAAAAATTCTTTTCAAAGCTAGATACAAAATGGATACTTTAGCAGAAGAATCCCAAAAGTTTATGATAAGTCAGGCACCATTTGGATGGTGCTGTTACTGTCAGTTACCATCTGGGCTCTCGGTTAGCCAAGACGTAATCCAGCAACACATGGATAGAATACTTGAGAATATACCTGATTATATTTGCATTGGCAAATAAGACAAAGGAGAGCATGATCACAACCTTCAGTGACTAATGCCAACAGCATGATGGCAAGGATTAATACCAAACAGTTCAAAGTGCCAGGTCAATATCAGCCAATGAAACTTCTTTGGATCCATTTATTCTGCCCATGGAATTTGTCCCAATCAAGGGAAGACTGAAGATGATCAAACAAATGCCAATCCTGCAGGATAAAGAGGATCTATGACATTGCTTTGGATTTTAAAACTTCCTCTTGACTGATCTTCCCAATTTCACTGACAAGGTATTTCCGCCGAGAGGTTTGCTTGAGAAGGATAATCCCTTTACAAGGCAATATAAAAGTTAGGGCGAAGAGTAGGCCATTTGACCCCATGAGCCTGCTCTGCCATTCATAATGACCATTGGTGATCAGTGAGATCAATACCCTAAGCCCGCCTTCACCTCCATATCCCTTGATCCCTTTAGCCACAAGAGCTACCTCCTTTAAAACACATAATGTTTTGACCCCAACTCCTTTTTGTGGTAATGAATTCCACAGGCTTACCACTCTCTGGATGAAGACATTTCTTTCCATTTCAGTCCTAATGACCACCAACACCTAAAGTCAATTCTCTCAAGCAGTTTCAGTCAGTAACGAATTAAAAACCGAAAGAACTGTAGATGCTGGAAATCAGAAACAAAAGCAGAAATTCATGGAAAAGCTCAGTGTGTCTGGCAGCATCTGTGGA